GAGCGGTTCCTCCATCCCCGAAGTGGTAATTTAAAGCGCTTCACCTGACAAATGGACACAGACAGCGGTAGGAGCACTGAGTATTCGTTAACACTTTACAGTCACGTACCAGCGGGGTTAAAATAATGAAGGACTTGCATTCTCACAGCTGAGGGGTCTGCACAGGCTCAGGTGCAAAGTACAGGGTAAAGATGGGAACTTCAGCTGTGCAGGTTGGTTTTTTTTACAGCTCGGCCTTCAAGCTGCGTTGTGTTTTGCACAGCCCATGCCTCGGACAAGCATCAATTAATTTTAACATGTCATAAAACTCACCCCAACAGTGTACTGCGCAGGCAGAAAAACCTCAGAGCTCCAGCTCCAAGGGAAGCGCTGTGTCTGCAACCAGGCTGCAATGGTGCTACAGCCGCACCTTTTCACAGCAGGTAACGGGATCCCTGTGGTAACTCCTGTCAGTCGTACCCCCTGACAGCACCATCACACACGTGCATGGGGCAGTTACTGGGCCACCCGCTCTGCCTCGGTGCCTTACACATCTCTCACAACGAGAAGGATACCCCAGATGACATCAAACTTCTGTATTTTCCTTACTCGACTGTCCCATGGTGTGTTTCACAAAAAAGGTATCTGAAATATTTTACGCTTCTACTCAGGAGAGCCAAAACAATGTAAAATTGGAGAAAAACACTCAGCTGACCAGCAGGAAAAAGAAGTCACCATAGGATGAAGGGGGTGTAAAGCACCCGGCTTACAAGTCACACTAGAAATGACTCCTTCTCTTCCCGGTCACCTCGTCCCTCAGCTGAGTCTCTTACACCGGACATCTGAGTCACTCTGGCTGCAGGTAAAAAATTTACTGCTCCACTGAGACAGCAGGTTCTGTGCCCCACAAGCCGGTCTGCCTGCTGATAACATCTGCTGCCAAAATAAAACTTGCGTAATAAAAACAAAAATATATAAATCAATACACGGCCCTTCCAGCATGAGAACACTTGACGTGATGCAGAGGGCTCTGCTGGAAAAAAGGCCCCGCTGTGTTTCTTCAAAAGCCTCACAGCAAGTGAAAAGATGGAGGTAAAACCTTAAATTGTAGGCCAAGGGCACCGGAGGGAAGGGGCCAAGTATCCCAGGTACGTCACGGAGCGCACACACTGAGGATCCCCAGCAAAAGCTGGACGAAGAGACAGAGGCTGAGGGCAGGGAGGACAGAGAGCAAAGCCTGACGTGTCCACCACTGCCCGGCAGGTTTCTGTATATACTTTGGGGCTCACTGTTGGAAGACTTGTAAATCTAGACGATATTTCTGCTGTTCCAGTACGATTGTCTCCTTATTTTATTTAACAGCGCTTTGCAGGAATTACCGTTGTGTGTTCCTTGACTGAGGAAAAGAGAGTTAACAGCACCACCAAGAACAATGGACAGGCAAACGCTTGGTGCTGTCTGCAGACAGACACAAGGCATGCACAAGCACAGGGGGCAGAAAAAGCTGAGGAGGCGAGAGGAAGCAGCAAAGACAGAGGGGAGGTTTTTTAGTGTGTAGAACAGTTCCAAGACATGACCAGTTTGCAGCCAGGATGGGGTAACCGGCAGCATGTGCCCTTCTGCTCTGTCAAGCACTACCTGCAGTAATGGTTTAAAAAGAAAATACATATTCCTCTGTGTGTTGCAGAAATGTGCAGTGTCAGCACTGTCTCTTCACTCAAAGAAGGCTGCAACCAGCTCCAGCTGAACCGTTTGGGATCTCCTACCTGTGCGCCTCAGCCCTAAGGAGAGTGACCGTTCCAGGCTGACATGCCCACGTGGCAGCTCACGACTAGTGCACACGGGAGCATGAATTCAGATAACGAGGAGAGTTTAGGTACATTCTTGAAAAAAAATGGCTACAGGCTTCCAGCTCCCCTGCTGCCTGCACCGGTGGGCAAGCTGAGGTGGGAGCCTTCACCTTTGGGGGGTTCCTGGCTCTGCGTGCACGCTCAGGCAGCAGGTCCTGCTCACCTGGACTCGTGCGGGTGTGGACACTCACTCTGCCATCCCCTGCTCCATATTCAAGTCAATTCCCCCGTCGGCAAGGCTGCCGTCATCTGTGAAAGACGGCTTTGCCATGGAGTTCATGGACCGGTAGCTGATGCCGTAGATCACCGAGCTGAAGATGAATGCTAGCTGCAACAAGGAAACAGCTGTCAGCCGCAAAAACCACGACCCCCGGGGCAGAGCGGCATAGGCCTGCTGGCCTCGCCTGTCGCGACAACCAGGAAAGGACCCGGTTTCCCACCGGGCCGGGCCCTGCTGCCCGTCGCAGCAGCTGGGGCCCTGCCTTCGGTGGGGCGA